TTCCTACAGCTACCCTAACTGCGAATAGCAGACCCGGGCTACCCCTAGGACAGATAGGCCCAATGGGCCTACGCTGATAGACGGTCCTATACCCTATAGCCGGGTAGGGAGAGCTCCTAAGGGCCGAAACAAAAACGGTACTGGTCGGTCAGTCAGTCCGGTCTAGGTCGAGTCTTGGCTAGGGTAGAGTATAGATAGGTTGAGAGAATCGGTCCAGGGCTTTTGGCAGTTTACACTTCGTGGTGGAAGTTGTTGCGCACGCGGCATCAGGTCGTGGTGACTGATCCATGCGTGGGAGACGGCGGACATAGTCGGACCCTCGGAGCGCTGACCAGACTGGGGTCAACGCTGTCCGCTCTGACTCTCTGCGAGTCAAAGCGGCCTGGGCTATCAAGGGTCTGATGCGTTGGAGCACGCGGTGCACTGCTGACCCTCCTCAGGAATAGGGTCCCAGTGGCGATGCAGCCATAGCTGCATCTTCTCAGAGATTATCATCGTCTGGACTTCATCTTCATCAAAGACCGTTGGTGCTGAGCTTCTTCCTCATCATCTGAGTGGCGATTGGCTCTGGGAGCCAGTTTCATCTTGGCACAGGCCACTGAGTTGGATGTCAGGGTGGCGCTGGGTGTTACCTGGGGTTCTGGTGCTACTTTTAGCTGTTCGGTGTGTGTGGGGTTGAGGCGCTACCCCTCTGAGGGTAGCGCAACAGGGTTCTGAGGTTATTCAGTGAAAGCGATGCTCTGAGTTTAATAAACACCAATCCTTGGGGGTCCTGTCGCCAGGTTGTCAGTCGTCAGACATAGCTGTAGCCCTACTAAGTCCCGCGAAGGTTTGGTCACCACAACTCTATGACCTCATACACAGAATCCTATCACCTGGACAGAAGTGACTCGATGCAGAAAGAAGAGACAGACAGACGCTTAAGCAAGTACCAAGGTTGTCTGCACATCCATAAGGCAAGGGGATAGGCCAAGGCTTGGAGAGATTATATCGCGCTCCAGCTTGGTCAACGCTATGGTCAACGGTCTTGGTCAACACTCTTGGTCAATGCCGGTCAACACAGGTCAACGCCTGTCAACGTCCTTGGTCAACCCTCGTGGTCAAGGCTTGACACCCTGGCTATGGCTGCTGACCTCCTTCCTCATCAAGCTTCTTCTCTCTCCCCTCGTCTTCTTCCTCACCAACCCCGACTATGGCTTCCTTCTCTCTCTCCTTCGTCTCTCCTTTCTCCTTCCTTCTCTCTCGTCTTCTCCTTCGTCACTTCCGCTTGATCGTCTTCTTCCTTGACTCCAAGCTCGGCGGCTATGGCTGCCTCTTCTTCTTCACATGCGCCTCCTACTTCCTACTTCCTACTTCCTACTTCCTATTTCCCTCTCTCTCTCTCTCTCTCTCTCTCTCTCTCTCTCTCTCTCTCTCTCTCTCTCTCTCTCTCTCTCTCTCGTCATCGTCTCCTTAGTGATCTCCAAACACGTGGCGGTGGTCTTCTTCGGCGATTCAACGATGGCGGCCTGGGGACTTCAATGCACGTGCACACAATCTTCAATAACGGGGGCGTGTAACAATGGACGCACAACATTCGGTTGCGCAAGCAACTCTACGGCACGCGTGAGCGCAGGCAGCACGACAGGCGCGCAGTTAGTGATAGCGCGCACATATAACAGCAAGCGCGCGTGAAGAACAACGGGCGCGCGCAAAGCAACCAGCGCGGGAGATGAACAACGGGCTTGCTGTCAGAGGGTGTGGTGTCCCAGCCCCCCGCAATGTAATACCAGGTTCCCTGCTGAAGAGCCTTTACGATGTTATACTGGGCTCCCTGTTTTGGAATTACCGCGGCAATACCTGATCATCTGGGTTGCACCCCGCTGCAGGGCCGGGCCCAGTTGACATTGCCGCGAAATACAGTCTGCCTGTGGTCGTGCTGTCCGCCGGGGTGCAGTCCTTTCAGCGACACAAACGGTGCAGTCCTTTCAGCTCCTTTTAGCTGCGTGTGAGCCCCGTTGTCAAGATTATGGGATAGGTACAGAAAGGGAGGGAAGAAAAGAAAAAATGAAAAAAAAAAGGGGGAAGATCGGAAAACGAAGGCTTTAATTTCCCCTTTCTTTTTGTTTCTTTCTTTGTCTATGATTGGAATTGAACCGCTGCCTTTGGGTATAAAATCAGACAGCCCATAGCTGTAGCGGTGCTAGGATTCTTGCCTCCCCTCCTTTCCTTTTGTACTAGGCCTTCTCGAATTGCAGCCCTCTGGCTAGTCGCGTCATCTGAGTTTGAATTATGATCGAAAGCGGGTGGCCTAGACTGGATGGCTGTTCATTTTTCGATTTGCTGATGGTGCGACTTGGAAGCTGTCTCGTCGGACCCCAAAAGAGGGGCAGCCCGCGGGCCGCTTTGGTAGGGAGCTGATCACCCCCCGCGGAAGGTCATAAGCCCCCTCCTTGCCATCGGGCACGGGTACCCATGAGGGGTAGTTCGATGATCTCCTTTGAAAGGAGGGATGTGTCCGCCTGTATCCCGTTATGGGACCACTACGCCGAGCCTGCTGAAACGTATTTCACCTCTTTGCAGTAGCAGACGCAGATCCCAGGGTTCGATCCCTAGACCTTGCCCTACCTGTGTACAGTATCTGTGTAGACCCCGAGAGTTCAACCTGTGACCTGTGTGTTTCGCAAACAGTTGATAGGCTGTCATAGGTCCGTAGGTAGCAGAGGGGTTCGATCTGTAGATCTGTAGGATAGAAGTCTTAGCGAGTTCCAGAAGTCTTAGCTGTAGTCCTTCTAGAAGGTCAGCAAGTGGGCAAGTGGGCAAGTGGTGAGTCAAGTGGTGGACTAAACTGCAGTGCAATTGCAGTACGATCTCGGTAGGTTAGCAGTGAGTCCCCACTCAGTCAGCGGTAAGATCCAGTCAGGCCCAGTCCGGTCCAGCAAGTCCACAAGGGACTGTGAGCACCATGGGCCGATGGAAGAGGGCAGACCAACGAGTTTCAGAAGTATAAATCAAGAGGCAGTGCCCAGCCTTTCATTCATTCCTGAGTGAGCCATGCGGAAGCACTGCCACAGCGACTTGTGCAAGGAGGTCTGCAGAGAGCCCGGAGCTGAAGTGGGCGAGAGAGGAGGAGCGTAGCATAGCGATAGGGTAGGGGCAGCCATAGCTGCCATAGCTGTAGTTTAGTGTAAGTGTGTGTGTGTATGTGCGAGTGTTCAGAGTGACACGTGTGGGATATCCAGGGTTATCCGGTGTATGTGAACAGTGAGTTGTTTGGGCGCTGAGTCGCCATATCCAGTTGAAAGTGAACTCGTATCTGGATGCTATATCTCTGAGTTTTGAGTGGGCGCATGTCGCCAGTGTGCTGCGCTACTGTTCACATGCATGAAAAGTGTGAATGAGAACGAGTCTGATTGCATTGGTATCGGAGCTGGTACCCGCTATTCCATGCACGCCGTCGTGTGCAGGGCCTGATGTGCCATAGCAGAGGTGGCTGCCGAGAGCTGTAGTCCGCCATAGCAGACCCGAAGGTTGGAGAAGCTGCCGCGCACCTGCAGAGAACACCACGACGAAGAAGA